CCCAAAATTCCCAAATTTTTCTCATTTTTGGTCCATTCCTCATTTTCCCCATTTCCCCCCCAATTTTCCTCCTTTTTTCCCAAAATTCCCCAATTTTTCCCCATTTTTGGTCCATTCCTCATTTTCCCCATTTCCCCCCCAATTTTCCATCTTTTTTCCCCAAATTCCCCAAAATTTCCCCATTTTTGGTCCATTCCTCCCCCTTACCAATTTTCCTCTTTTTTCCCCAAAATTCCCCAATTTTTCCCCATTTTTGGTCCATTCCCCCTTTCTCCCCATTTCCCCCATTTTTTCCCAATTTTCCCTCCATTTTTTTCCCTTTTTCCCATTTTTTGCCATTTCTTTCCTTTTTTTTTACCTTTTCCTACAATTTTCCCCCTTTTTCTCCATTTTTCGGGACAAAATTCCCATTTTTCTCCCAATTTTTCCCTGTTTTTTCCCTCCCATTTTTTCCCAATTTCCCCCACCCTTTTCTCCCCATTTTTTCCCATTTTATCCCCATTTTTTCCCCATTTCCCCCCATTTTTTCCCCCATTTTTTTCCCATTTTTTCTCATTTTTTCACCCATTTCCCCCCATTTTTTCACTGTTATTTGTAATTTTTTCCCAATTTCTCCTGTTTTTCCCCCATTTCCAGTGCCCGAGGAGTACAAGTCGTGGATCTTCCCCTAATTTTTCCCCCATTTCCCCCCTATTTTTTCTCATTTTTTCACCGTTTTCTCCCATTTTTTCACCCTTTTTCCCCATTTTTTCACCGTTTTTTCCCATTTTTCCCATTTTCTCCCATTTTTGCCCCATTTCCAGTGCCCGAGGAGGACGAGTCACGGATCATCGGGGGCCGGCCCTGCTCGGTGCCCTGCGCCCATTCCAGGACATTTTCCCCATTTTTTCCCATTTTTTTTCTCATTTTTTCACCATTTTTTCACTGTTTTTCCCATTTTTTCACTGTTTTTCCCATTTTTTCACCGTTTCTCCCCATTTTCCAGTGCCTGAGGAGGACGAGTCGTGGACCTTCCCCCCGTTTTACCCCATTTCCCCCCATTTTTTTCCCCTTTTTTTTTTCCCATTTTTTCACCATTTTTTCTCATTTTTTCACCCTTTTCCCCCATTTTTTCACCGTTTTCCCCGATTTTTTCACCGTTTTCTCCCATTTTTTCACCCTTTTTTCCCATTTTTTCACTGTTTTTTCCCATTTTTCCCATTTTCTCCCATTTTTGCCCCATTTCCAGTGCCCGAGGAGGACAAGTCATGGATCATCGGGGGCCGGCCCTGCTCGGTGCCCTGCGCCCATTCCAGGACATTTTCCCCATTTTTCCCCGTTTTTTCCCCGTTTTTCCCCATTTTTTCCCCATTTTTTCACCGTTTTTCCCCATTTTTCCCCATTTTTTCCCGTTTTTTCACCGTTTCTCCCCATTTCCAGTGCCCGAGGAGGACAAGTCGTGGATCTTCCCCCATTTTTTCCCCATTTCCCCCCTATTTTTTTCTCATTTTTTCACCATTTTTTCCCATTTTTCCCATTTTTTCCCATTTTTCCCCCATTTCCAGTGCCCGAGGAGGACGAGTCATGGATCATCGGGGGCCGGCCCTGCTCGGTGCCACGCGCCCGTTCCAGGACATTTTCCCCATTTTTTCCCCATTTTTTCCCATTTTTTCACCGTTTTTCCCCATTTTTTCCCCGTTTCTCCCCATTTTTTCCCCGTTTTTTCCCGTTTTTTCACTGTTTCTCCCCATTTTCCAGTGCCCGAGGAGGACGAGTCGCGGATCATCGGGGGCCGGCCCTGCTCGGTGGCCCAGCGCCCGTTCCAGGTGGCCCTGACCAAGCGGGGGCAGATCCTGTGCGGGGGGAGCCTCGTGGCCGCCCAGTGGGTCCTGACGGCCGCGCACTGCCGGCAGCCCCTCAGGTGAGGCACCCGGGCACACCTGGGCACACCTGGGCACACCTGGGCACACCTGGG